ATATATATTCATTCCACTCTCTTCTGCTTTGTGCTCTGCCCAGCTTCAGTTTTTTATCTCATTCTCCAGTGCCCTCCTAAGCTGGCTCTTCTTACTGAAAAATGCCTAACTCATTTTAAAGATTAAAGATTTTTTTTTTAAAGAAAGATTATCTAAAATTTGTAGAGAAGCTAACCAGAATACCATAAACAATGCCGCCAAGGATACTTCCTTATGAATAAACACTGGTTATTTTTAGAGGCATTTGGATTGGTCAGTTGGCAGACAGATCACAGTGGCAATACTCAATGGCATTGGGAACTGATTAGGATTTATAATAGAAAATGAGGGTAGGCAGCAGAGCTGGTGGGAAGAAAAAAATGGTCACCTTTCCTTTCTTTTTAATCTTTTCAGTTCTCTCATCTCATTCATGCCCCAAATTTAGAGGTAAAATTTAAGCTGGGAGTGATAAAATACAGACTTTGTCTAGTGTCATACGACTTCTGAGAGCACTGACATACTCCCATAGACATTAAACTGCTAAGATAAAGTGATTTATTTTTGACTCTAAAAATACCAAGTTTTAACCCATGTTTTCATATTACTGTGTAATGAACTAAAAAAATAAAAAAATAATGGCATTTAAAAATAATTGAATTTCTCTAGATAGCATCCAGTACTTGGGTTATATTTTATTGATAATACTTACTTGAGGTTTTTCTACTCATGGCTCTACTATATTCTGCAAAGCTTATAATAGTTTAGAGAACCCATGAAGGGACACATCAAGACTGTGTGCTTTATCTAACATGTCACTGTCAGCATCAACAACAAAGCGGTTTTACTATGTCAAGATGTAATAAGGTATATTATTATAACCATCATCACTTGGTTTATTTGTTGTAATCAATTATGGCACATTTATGGTAAAGAAAATTATAGAATCAAAGTAAAAACTAATGGAAAGGTTAATATGGTGCTGGTTAGTAGAAAATAGAAAAAAAAGTTTGTTGCTAGGATTGAATTTAAACCAGGCATATTCAAAGCATATAGTTCAAGGGGGCAATAAAAGTATGAATTAGTTAGCCTTAGTAACCTATTTTAAAAAATTATTATCTAGGCACTAAAGAATCACGATCATTTGTTATGTAACATGTTATCTTTGTAAGCAACTACAAAATTGTTTATTTTCTAGAATCAAAATACATTTTTTTATGTTAGTACAGAAAGTAAGATATAAATTTATGTTCCACAAGCTTTCATTAGTGGAGAATTTTGATGTAACAACAGAGAATTAATATTAATTACTATTAAAATTTAACATCAGTGAAACTTTAAAACATGACTGAAAACACTGACTTATATTCTCATGATTAAAACATTTGACTTTTAAATTGAATATTCCTGATTACATTTAGTATTTTATATAAATTGCAGTTTGGAAAATTACAAAGCGAAACTTAAATGAGATAAATAAATACTTGGAAATCGTTATTCTTTCTTCTACATGTGATTCAACCCCTATATTCACGAGAATACATATAGTAAAACAAAAAAAGCAAATTCGCAATAAACTATCGGAGTTCCCAACAATCAGGTATCATAAGGTGAAGTTTCCTACTCTGATGTAGTTTTTTCACAGAATCTTGAGAATAGACTACTGATACCACATGCTCACTGTCTTCCTCCAAGAAGAGAAAGCAGGATGGTTGCCAAGTCCTATGATATAGATAACATGCTCATGTATTACTTTGTTGCTCAGTAATGAATCTGCCTTTAGTACATTTAAATAATAGTCTCTTCATAAATTCACACACCTTTCTCTAAAGAGTTCAAAGTGAACTTACTAATATAGCAATCAACACTGAGTATGTAAATAAAGAGTTTCTATATTCCAGCTCTAGTCAGATCAGATTTTTGAAAATTACACTACTGTGCAACATTCCAAGCTGTGGTACAGAACACAGCATTCTACATAGTTCTGGCTCAATAAATATGATAACCATAAAACTCATAAACTCAGTAAATTCTGTTAATTAACCTGGGTTCAGTTTTTTCTAGCCATCGATTGGAAAATGGATAGTCTATAGATAAAAACATGGTCTTGTCTGTTATCTTAATTTTGCCAACAAAAAACACATGGAATTTTGAACCTTGACAGAATAATACTTATGTCAAGATAACAGAGTCAGGACTTGAAAATTAAAGACAATTATCGATACTTAGTTTCAAAAAAATGTATATGTGTTTTAAAGCTATCCCCAGCGCCCCCCCCCCCATTCCTCCCAAAAAAAGATAGAAGGAGAAAAAAGATTTAAAGAGGAAGTTTATATGAGCAGGACTTAATCAGTTCTTAACAACTGTTAAGTACAATCTTTTGGAAATTAATTTGCATAATGATCATCTACATAGGGTAGGGCTGAAATTATTTAAACGACATTACATTTCACTATTTAGTCTTGCTCCACCACTACTTTAGCAGTGAATCCTTATGAAATGTAATGCAGCTAATGAGGTAGCTTTTTAACTGAACAAACTGACAGGCCCCATATCTGCAGAGGCAGCTTGAAACCGTGCCCAACCTCTTGGCTTCCCAAGAGGCTTTTCAAAATTCAATAAATAACATCTGTAGGCGATGTTGGGTGCAGACCTAGCAGAGTGCGTCATAACACTGTGCTGGCAGAACAAAGAAACCATGACGACTGCCAAGTTTCCATGGCAACTGCTGAGAGGCTCTGAGAGTATAATAGCACATCAATCACTGTCCAAAAGAACTTCATTATCAGCTAGAAAAAACCTTTAGGATCTGTTTAGTGTGCAATTGTGGGTTAACTCACCTCAAAGCCTTGCTCTCTAGCAAAAGTGGCAGCTTCCTGAAATAAAAAAAAAAAGAACAGTTAATTATAAAGTGCGAGGTAATGAAGAAATAATCCATTTTGAAACTCATTCACAGTCTTCTTTTTACACAATTATCTCAATATACCCACATAGTTCAATTTTTATTCTTACACCAAAAAAGATTTCTTTTTCCCTTGGCATAAAAAAAAAAGGGCAACATTATGTCAACATACTTCACAAGTTGGAATAAAGAAGATGTAGTGAATGTTTTTACTGTAGCTGTCACAGTGAGTTCAGGTGTTTTGACCCCAACAAAGAAAGACAATTATTTGAAACCTATGGAACACGCCTGGTGCTTATGTTTTTAATTAAAACAGTATCTTTCAGAAAGCTCTTCTGTAGAAGAATGTCTGCTAGTAAATGTATTGATTAAGAGAAATCACCAATTTGCAATCTCTAATGAAATTTATTTAGGCAAGGATCATCAATGGATGCTAAATTCATTAGGTGAAAGGATGATGGGGAACTGGGTATTTCATGGAATTAAAATGTCACAGATTATGTGTTGATCACGGGGAGCAAACTATAAATTTATAATGGAAGGAAGGAGCTGTCATAACCTTAACCCAGTGATTGATCATATCACTTATCATTAATAGTGGGGTCACTAATATTCTATTATGAGACAGTATGAAGTATCCAGCATCACCTATACAGTTTTCTGATGGAAATTTTTTTTAATGAATTAATCAAAACTTTAATTATATAACTTGCTGTCTATAGGAAATGCAGAGAATAGGAGAACAAGTTCAATGATATACTGAGAAAGCAAACAGACAAATCCATAGATGGGACATTTTACAGGATAAGTAGCTTGGTCTCTTCAATAAGTCAATTTCATGATAAAGTGGGAGGGGGAAAATGACCAAGAATACTATACAGACCTTAACTGGATTCTGTTTTGAATAAACCAGGTATAAAAGACATTTTGGGGACAACTGAAGAAATTTAAATATTTTAAGAATTAGATAATATTAAGAATTATCAAATTGATAAGAAAAATATCCTTAATTTTTAGCAGTTAGTCCTGAAGTATTTAGGGATGAAATGGCATGATACTTATAATTTACTTTAGAATTCTTAAAAAAATTAGAGTGAAGCAAAATGGCAACATATTAATTATATCTAGATGTATTAAGTATTTCTACTTTTTTGACTGTTTGAAAATTAAAAGAAACAGTCCAAATAAATCCCTATTTTACTTTGATGTAAGATGACAGGGTAACAAAAGTTGAACATTAAAAATATATAATTAAAATACGCAATGTTTTTCTAGAATTAAACATCTTTAGGGTACAATCTGATGAACAATTATTATACACCATAATGCTGTTGCAACAGGGTATCAAATGACAAAAACACTTCTATGCAACCAAATCCTCTCCCTTTCTCTACTCTGCTTTGTGCATGTATTTTAATGTTAGGACTAGTACAGAAAATGGAGGCAATATCACTTTTCAACTCTACTTCCCTCTTGAAAATGAAAAAAACTGCAGACAACTGTCAAGAGCCTCTACATCTTAACTTACATTCCTCCAAAATTATCTCTGCCAAGAGATATTAATAGAAGGATGGGATTTGAGTCCAAGTAGTGAGCAGATCCAACTCAACTGAAACAACGCTGCACCAAACCATGTAAGGCAGAAAGTACAGCCAATGTCTCCAGCACAGATTTGGGTCCTATCTACGTGTTAAGGAAAACACTGGGGAAAAAGTATGTATGCACGGATGGCCCCATATACTAATAAAATATAAATTTAAAGAACCATTTTGAGGGTTTAAAAAGTTTGAAATGGACGATTACAGCTGAACACCGAAGTTGATAGGAAGTGATAAGCTGAAAGTGTAACTCCTCAGGCTGTTCACTAGAGAAGCATAGGGTGATCGACTTAGCCTCAGTAATGTGGATGATACAATAGAATTTTGTAGACAACATAGTCAATAATATTTGCTGACCTAGATATCAAGGAAAAGGATAAAGTTCAAAAGATATCAATGTAGTATTTTTCCAAATTGTCCAATCCAAGAATTAACCAAGCTAATTCTTTTTTTTTTTTTTTTAATCCTCATCTGAGGATACTTTCTCCATTGCTTTTCACAGAGAGAGGGAGGGAAGTAAGGAGGGAGGGAGGGAAACATCAAATGTGAGAGAGACATATCAACTAGTTTCCTCCCGCACGTGTCCCAACTGGGGGTGGGGAGCGAACCGCAACCCAGGTACATGCCCTCACTGGGAATCAAACCCGTGACCATTCAGTGAGCAGGCTGACACTCTAAGCATTGAGCCACACCAGCCAGAGCACCAAGCTAATTCTTATATGAAAACGATAACTGAGCCCTAGCTGGGTAGCTCAGTTGGTTAGAGTGTCATCCCAATATGCCCTTGTTGTAGGTTCTACCCCTCAATCCCCAGTCAGGGCACATACTAAAAGCAACCAATGAATTCATGGTAAGTGGAACAACAAATAGACATCTCTCTCTCTAAATTCAATAAATAAAAAAATTTAGAAAAAGATATCCGAAAAGCTCTGTTAGAAATACTTATTTATATGCAACTTTCAGAGGCATGAAAGAACCCCAAAGACCTATAACACAAATATGAAGAATCTGTATGACTAAAATTGCACTAAGACACAAAAACTCAAAGTTCACATATGGCAGTTAAATTGCTCTTTTAATGTCCAAATTTACTCATACAAACCTAAGAAGTAATTAACTGTGACCTGTTATGGTATAGTAGAACTGACTAATTGCAAGACACACATATAAATGTCAGATCATTATTCTTTAAGGGAGCCAGGCACTAGGACACTTGTCCATCTGTAAACTATTGCAAGTGCTAACATATTTCTGACTGAGGAAGGACATGCTGAAGAAAAGTCAACTCAGTTTTCTATCTTAACGTCCCCCTCACACAGATTTGCAGAACTGTGCCCTATCACTGAAAAGCTAAAGCACTTGTTCTATGACTTAAAAAGATCTTATCTCCTGACTTCCTCTCACCTTCCTTTGATCTTGGACGGGTGCCCCAGTCACTCCATTAGAGAAAGCAGATGGCTCACCTCACCCCCGACTTTCCCACCACAGCTAACCTCTGATCTAAAGGTGTCTGCAGATACATTGATGGAACAACATTTATTATTTTCCTCTCAGCAAAACAAATAAAACAACATAGGGAACAGTTTGACCCAGTAAGAATTTTAAGCAGAATTTTAGTGTTCAGATTCACTGCATGGAGGGACAGAAAGAAAAGGCATTAGGTCAGAAAGTAGGAAAGAAAAGGGGACATGGAAGAGTAAGTGGTTAGAAGAGGGAGAAGTGGGCAAAGAGTAAGGCCCATTCCAAATATCAAAAGTAATTCCAAGTGAACTGATCACACTAAATTGAAAAGGACTTTGTAGTGTGCCTTTGCAGTAAGAGTGAGAAAAGAAAACAAGCAAGTCCCCATCTGTGCTGCCCCAGGGCGCCACGTACTGAGTTTCACAAACCTAATGAAGCAGTCAGGTTAAAATCCAACCGCAGAGTGGATGTGTCATGTGGAGAACAGGGAAGGTTAGAATAGAGAAGCAGGGCGGTTCCTAATGCAGGTGATTATCCATGTGATAATCATTATATTTACAGGCTTTCCATTTTAGATCTGACATCAGAAATCACAAAGGAGGAGGGATTAAGGAAATAAACAACCGACACAGAGGCTTTCCTGCTCCCCTGAGAGTGTAGCACTTTCATTCATGCATGACAAGCAACAAAAGCAAAATCAAACAGGCCAGGAAAGAGTATTTCTGAGAAGGCTGCATTTCACATTAACACTTCTTTCCATTTTGATAACTTTCACTATTATTCAGCTTCTCAGACAGGTTACATTTTCAGAATCAGTTCCCATTGTTGTCTATGCTATAATACAGTATCATTTTTGGTTTACAATGAATGATACTCACATCATATGTCTTTTACAACAACAAAGTCATTTTTTCCTTCCTGGAATTGAGTGTTGTGAATAAAATGACATATAATTAAAGTCTTAGACGCTCATCTACACCATGCTATTTAGGATTTGCAGTAGGCTTGCTGCTTCACTGACCAGGCTAAAAGGGTTCCAGTGAAACAACAACCAAATACAGTTTTTGAATGGAGGTTTAAAAAAACCCTAAAATTCATGGCTAATGAAAACTATGGAATACTTACGTTAAGAGCTATTTAAAGGGATTAGCAAGCCACTATTAAATAGCATAATCCTCAGATTATGCAGGAAAGAAAGGAGAAACTCAAGTGCTTGTTTGTGTGTATGTATGAAAGACAACTATCTCTTTTATAGTAGTTCCTCCTTATCCATGGTGTAGCTTTTTGCAGTTTCAGTTACATATGGTCTGAAAATATTAAATGGAAAATTCCAGAACTAAACAATGCATTCATTTTAAACTGAGTGACGTTCTGAGTAGCATGATGCTATCTTGCACTGTCCTGCTCCATCTCGCCCAGACTCGAATCATCTCTTTGCCCAGCTTATCACAGTTTACACCCTATCTGACCATTAGTTACTTGGTAGCCTTCTTTTTTTTTTCAATCCTCCCCCGAGGATATGTTTATTGATTTTTTTTTTTTTTAGAGAGAGAGGAAGAGAGAGAAACACCAATCAGCTGCTTCCTGTATTCACCCCTGCCAGGATTGAACCCCCAACCTAGGTATGTGCTCTGATGGGGAATTGAACCTGCAACCTTTTTTTTTTGGTGTACGGGATGACACTCCAAACAACTGAGCCACCCGGCTGGGGCTTGACAGCCTTCTTGGTTATCAGATCAACTGCCTCATTATCATGGTACTTATATTCAAGTTACCCTTATTTTACGTAATAATGCTACATTCATATAACTTTCATTATAGTAATATTATTATAACAGTTCTATTTTATTATCAGTTCTTGTTAATATCTTACTGTGACTAGTTTATAAATTAATCACAGTATGTATGTATAGGG